TGAAGAGAAACCTGGGGTTGTTCTTATTTACTTCAATCAGTGATGAATAGTAAGATGTTCTGGCTTTGCGGAGGGCTTTCTTATAAAGCAGCAAACTTTTAATACTCTAAGTTGTTTTATTAAGTATGTTGTATTCTTGTACAGCACTTTGGTCAACGCTCCTGTTGTAATTAAATGTGCTATATAAATAATTAAACTATTAACTATTAAACTATTTTAAATATCTGAAAAAAAAGGATACATTTCTGAACACGTTTCTTTTAAAAACATTCAAGCTGTCAGAGAAAGAAACTGCTTTACAATATGACCTGTGAGACTGAATGTTATTACTGATCAGTCTGTTTTAATTCAATGTGCTTCCGACATGTCAAAATTAAAAATATCAAAGTGTCTTCCACAGATCGAGTGTCTGCTCTGATAACCATCTTACCAACAACTGATAACATTGTGGAAAACTTTGAGTTTGAGGTTAATGATAGCCATAAATGTGATTGTGAAGAACAGGACTTTTTCATTTTCACGTTCACTATTTCTGGGAATCACTCAGATTCCTGTCACAGTTCAACTTTTTTTAGGTTAGAGGTAAGATCCCCTTATGTAGGAGGCTTACGTTTTCAGATACTATCATCAGACGAGGAAGAAACTACAATAATGTTTTCACATTCTTTTGCTTTGAGGTTAACCCTTTAATGCCCTTTGTATTCCAATCCAATCCAACTTTATTTATATAGCACTTTTAAAAACAACAAAGTTGACCAAAGTGCTTTCCAATAATAAAACAGAGATAGCATTTGTATTATATTTGATACATGAGTTTGATAGACCTCTATCTCATCAACATGATCAATACTTGCCATCATTTCAAAATGTTATGGACAAAACTTTTTTTTGTCTAAAAATAACATTGTTGTTAAAAAAAAGTTGCCAAAAATGTCCAATGTATCAAATGCGATACAAAAAATTCTATAATAAATATACAATAAAAATATATCATACACAACATGTTATATCAAAAAAATTTTGTGGATTTTGTTATAAGGGTTAATAAACATCTCAGTTCCAAAAATTCAGAATTTTCTGTTTATTTTTTGATGGGTTGGGTCTTACAGGGTTAATGATAGCACTAAATGTGACTGTAGAAAATTGTTTCACTTTCAAGCTTACATATTACATCTATATCTCTTAGTTCCACCCATGTGCCATAAATTTTTCTTCTGCTTTTGTTTTGAAGATGACACGAGTAAGGAGGAAAAAAAGTAACATCAGAGCAGATAAAAATGGGGAGTGGGGACGTGACAGATAAAAGGAACCACAGAGTGCAGTAGAGCAGAACTTGCGCTGTCTTTCTGATCAGAGAAGTTGCCGTAAGTAGTTAAATACTGATCTGTTTTTTCATTGTATTCATCTGTTGCTTTCAGTAGAACTAAGCTTTCCTAGTTTCTGGTTAAACTCATTTGTAATATTCCTGAAATCAAAAAGATGTTGACATTTATTAGTGTTTCTATGTTGCAGGACTAAATGTTAAATCTACACAAACACAGATGAAAGAAAATATTAGTGTATGCATTCTGTGTTTAACCCATCACACTTTTAGAGTTAAATAAATTAAACTCCAAGCATGAATTTGGAAAAGAATAGCAACTTTTAGTTTTGCAAGATAGAGAATGCTATTATGATTGTTTGCAGTTTTGATTTGCTTCTCCGATTGAAAAGTATGTTGACTTACTGCTGGCTGCATCACACACAAACAGCTGTTAAATAAATTCAGACAAGATATTTTGACTGACCAAATTTGATTCTTCTTACCCCATCCTACCAGGAGTCTATTGACAGCTTAATTTTAAAGGAATTTTTTTGTAATGTATTAATTATTCTTTTTTCTTTCTTTTCTTCTTCTTTTTTTTTTTTTATCACAAAACGCTTTGAGCGTCTCAAAAAGCGCTATATAAATGCAATCCATTATTATTATTAAACTCAGTGAAAATATTTCAAAATGTGTGTTTGGTTTAAGGAAACACAACTGTGTCTATGTGACCATATAATGATCATACAGTCACACAGCCTGCATATGTATCATTTATGGTAATGCAAATGACACCATCCCTTATAAATTGCGTCATTTCTTGGACCAAGCAAAATTTATTATAAATCCATTTCCAAATTAACATTGAGTATCAAAACCAGGTCTACTTGTACCGACGT